CTATTTAAAAGATTTTTAACAAATTTTTGCCATGAACCTTCCATGAGAATCATACATGCACACACACGCGCTTGCATACACACATACATTTTCTCTCTCTCTCTCTCTCTCTCTCTCTCTCTCTCTCTCTCTCTCTCTCGACCAGACAATGCTTGTAACATCAAGGGGAAAAAAACTGATGAAAGGAGGAAATATATTACTTTATTGAAGCAACTTAATATGCCACTTGAACAGGAATATTTGACACCTAAAGCCTCAAAAAAAAAAAAAGACATATTTTAAGACCAGCGTACAATAAAGTGCACAGTAAACCCCCATTGGCAGGTGATAGACATGGAGCACTGCGAATAGAGAAAAAGTGAGTCAGTGAAGCCCACCGAAAAAGTTTGTATCTGCCTTTAGATGTCACAAAATGGTGGCAAAGCATTCATTCATTTTCCAAAGATCAAAATAAAACTTGGCTACACACTTCACCATACACCTGTAGTACTTCCTTGGCACAGAGATGACAGAAGATGACTCCAAGGCAATATTGTTATTGCTATGGTCTGAGCAGAAAGACAACAAATGGGAGTTTGGATGGCTTTTTTTTTAGCAAATAAGGGCAGGTTGAAAGAAATATTTGTGACTGCTGAAAATGTTCCTCCAGAATAAGAGTTATCAGCCAAGTTTCCGCTGAGTGCGGCTGGTGATTGACAGCCGCTATTGATGGCGGCCGAGATTAGGCCAGGCGAAAGGCGTAGCGAGCCGCCGCACTGTGCCGTAATTACGACCTTGGAGGAAGAAAAGACAAAACTCCAATTATATCATGGCGCACAAAACGCTTGTTGGCTGGGAGGCGTCACAACAACGCGCCGCAGGTGCACCGGCGACCCCGCGCAACACATCACAACAGAGGATCGCGAGGCCCCTCGCGCCGCCGCCAAGCACGACAATCTTCCCTCTGCTCTTCTCCGCTCCCAGCCGCTTGCTTGCAAATCAACCACTTGGTGCGATTTCCCATGCGTGCCACTTCAGGTGGCTTTCCTTATATTTTCGATCGTACGCACTGATCGAGTGGAATGGCGAACACACCTTGGAGAATAGATGAGAAATAATGTGGACGACCGATATATATATATATATATATATATATATATATATACGATATAGATAGATCTATCATTCTATATCTATAGATATAGATAGATAGATAGATAGATCGATCGATCGATCGATCGATCGATCGATCGATCGATCGATCGATCGATCGATCGATCGATCGATCGATCGATCGATCGATCGATCGATCGATCGATCGATCGATCGATCGATCGATCGATCGATCGATAGATAGATAGATAGATAGATAGATAGATAGACACACACATACACACACACAAAGCAAATATGTATTGGGGCAACTGAGCGTCTTAAGATTTCTCGATAATTATTTTATTTAAATTTTTTTAACCCTACATGTAAAACCCACACGCACACACGTGCGTGCATACACACACGTAATATATATATATATATACACACACACACACACACACACACACACACACACACACACAGAGAGAGAGAGAGCCACCCCCACACACACAATAAT